GTGCTGACGGCCGCCCCCTCCCCTCACCCACCTCTTCCCGCAGACCACCCTGTGCAACACGTCCTTGGACAACCCGACCCAGCGGAGCAAGGACCAGCTGATCCAAGCGGCCATCAAGTTTCTGGACACTGACACCATCTGGTAAGTGACGCCCTGGCGTGAGCAGGTCCCGGGGGCCCTGGTGGGTGGGGAGGGGCCCGCTGTTCTGCACACGCACGGCCTCTCTCCTCCTCTCCCTTGCGCGAGACCATGGCTTTCCACGGCGTCCACCTGGGTTGGCGGTCTGGGGACACCCCTGCAGCCCGGCTCCCCCTTAGCCAGCTGGGTCTCCGTGTCTCTCGGTCAGCGCGAGGGCCACAGCCTGGCCTTGAGGACCGTGTGTCCACACCGAGAGGGGGGCGGGCTCCTGAGAAGGCAACGGGCCATTCGTGTGCGTCTCTGGGAAGGCGGCAGCGACCGGGCCGGGGCTCAGCCTGCGTGCTGTGGCTCTCGCCCCAGAGGGTCCGGTTTCTGTAGATGGGTGGGGTGGGGTGTGTGGCCTGGGAACATGCATTTCTCACGGGCTCCCAGGTGCTGCCGCTGCCGCTGGCCCCAGGACTGCCACTTTAGGGGAGAGCCTTGCAGGGCTGGGGGCGGGGCCAGGGCGGAGCAGCCTGTGCCCTCCCCCTTTGTGGTTTCCTTTGCGGTCACCGAATGAAAGAATTGTACTTTTCCATTAATGAAGGTGGTTTTTTGCCATGAATTAGCTACAGGGTGGAAGAGCCCGAGACCTTGGTGGAGCTCCAAAAGAATGAATGGGATCCAGTTATAGAGTGGGCTGAGAACAGGTAAGAGGTGGCACAGACCGGCCGGCCCGGGCAGGCCGTGGAGGCCTGGCTGGTACCACACCGCCAGCGCCCCGAGCGTTCGGAGCTCAGGGTGCCCTTGGGGCCCGGCTCCCCTCGGGCGTTCTGAGACCGCGCGCCTTGCAGAACAGCGGTCCCTTGGGAGACACGTTCAGCGAGCCCGCAGCAGGCGCAGGGCCAGTCCAGCGCCCTCCGGGAGGGGCAGGATCCCGGCAGGATCCGCCTAGGTCCGGGGCAGGAGCAGGGCAGCGGTGCCGGTCTGCGCGCCAGCTCCGCGACCGTGAGCGGGAGCCGTGTGCCTCTGGGCCACTGAGTCCGTCCAGCTTCAGTTTCCTCATCTGCGAGTAGGGCCGGTGGTGTGGGGAGGACCCCAGGAGTGGGTGCGTTCAGTGCCGAGCCCACAGTTAATGCGCAGATTTGGGGGACACTTTTCATTCTTCTCTTCATCGCCATGACTGCAGTGTCGGGCGCTGCTCATGCGTCACGGGTCACGTCCGTGGGCGCAGGGTTCAAGGAGTTGCTGATACCCGGCGTCTTCCTTAATGGGAAGAGCTTTTTTTTTTCTTTTAAAGATTTATTTATTTGAAAGGTGGAGTTAAGAGGCAGAGAGAGAGAGAGAGAGGTCTTCCATCCGCTGGTTCACTCCACAAATGGCCATGATGGCTAGAGCTGTGCCGATCTGAAGCCCGGAGCCAGGAGCTTCTTCTGGGTCTCCCATGTGGGTGCAGAGGCCCAAGCGCTTGGGCCATCTTCTACTGCTTTCCCAGGCCATAGCAGAGAGCTGGATCAGAGGTGGAGCAGCCAGGACTCGAACTGGTGCCCACATGGGATGCCAGCACTGCAAGCGGCGGCTTTACCCACTGCGCCACGGCTCTGGCCACCCTAAAAGGCTTTTTTTTTTTTTTTTTTTTTTTTTGACAGGCAGAGTGGACAGTGAGAGAGAGAGAGACAGAGAGAAAGGTCTTCCTTTGCCGTTGGTTCACCCTCCAATGGCCGCTGCAGCAGGCGCACTGCGCTGATCCGAAGGCAGGAGCCAGGTGCTTCTCCTGGTCTCCCATGGGGTGCAGGGCCCAAGCACCTGGGCCATCCTCCACTGCCCTCCCTGGCCACAGCAGAGAGCTGGCCTGGAAGAGGGGCAACCGGGACAGAATCTGGCACCCCTACCGGGACTAGAACCCGGTGTGCCGGCGCCGCCAGGTGGAGGATTAGCCTATTGAGCCGCGGTGCCGGCCACCCTAAAAGGCTTTTAAAATATTTGAAAAACAAGTATCCCATGCTGTATTTAAAAAAAATTAATTTGATGTATTTTTAAAAATTATTTATTTGAAATGTAGCAAGACAAGATAAAAAGGGTCTCACTGCTGGTTCACTCCCCAAATGCCTGCAACAGCCAAGGCTGAGCCAGGCCAGAGTCAGGAGACAGAAACTCCACACAGGTCTCGGGCAGGCTTTAAGCCTTCTCCTTGCAGGTACGGCGTGGAGATCGGCTCCTCCACCAGTATCATGGGACCCAGCATCCCCGCCAGGACTCACAAGGTGCTGGCCAACCACCTGGCATCCTACAACATGTGGGCCCTCCAAGGTGTGCCCGGAGAGCGCGTGCGCAGCTTCCTGTGGGCGGGTGACACACACTACACTCAGCACCCCGAGTGAGGGGTGGGGCCCGGGCGGGGGGAATGTCTGGGAGCTGGCCATCCACACAGCTCCGCGCCTCCTAGCAAGAAAGCCGGGCTTGGCTCTCCAGCCGATGTCTGCAAGTTACAAGCCCTTTGGGAACCCGCTGCGGGGCTGTGGGGCGGGGCTGCTCTAGTTGGCCAGGCTGGGTGGAGGAGGACGCCAGGGAAGAGGGCGTGGACCCCAAGGGCCGCAGCACACTCTCCCCCTCCCTTTCCCTGCTCGGGGGTGCAGGGGCTGCCTGAGGGCGTGGGCCTGACTCCGCTCGCGGCCCCGCAGGGATCGAGTTCGTGGTGACCCAGCTCAAGTCCATGGTGCTGACCTTGGGCCTGACCGACCTGCACCTGACGGTGGAGCAGGCCGTGCTGCTGTCGCGCCTGGAGGAGGAGTACCAGGTGAGGGTCGCGGCCCGGGGGGCGGGGCAGGGGCACCGCACGTTCACCTAACCCTGGCCTGTGTTGCCGTCGAGTAAGTCCAGCCACCAGAATAAGGCCCGTCCGAGGCATCGGCAGGCACAGGAAGTGCCCCCACCTCCTCTTGTGCACAGCCCGGCCAGCTGGGGGCTGTGCGGGTGCCCGTTCTACACAGGGGGCCCCTGAGTCACAAGGCTGTCCCTCTGGGACCTGTGGGAGCAGGTTGGAGGGCTGCTGGCTGCCTGTGGGTGATCACCACGCCACCCTGGCCTGACTCAGCCCCTGCTTTGGCCAAGCCTGCCCACCCCGAGTCTCTTCCCGGCAGGGGCTGCTGCGTTCGCGGGCTCGGGGTTGCCGTCTTGCAGCCGTGCCTCCAACCTCGGCTGCCCTGAGGACTAGACAGAGAAATGCCTTCCTGTACCGTGTGCCCCTCCCCCGGCCGCTCAGGAGAGCCTCGGGGACAGGCACTGCCTGCGCCTGGCGGAGCATGCTGGGTACTCTGGATGCCAGGACCCACCACGCAGGAATGGGGAGGGGAGGGGCTGGGGGAGCCGGCTCGTGTGGTGTGGCAGAGTCCAGGTCCCTGGGCGAGCGGGGGCAGCAGCCGGCCTGGCCTGCCGGGCCCTGGCCAGGGGATGAGCCCGCAGGCCAGTTTGGAGTCAGAGATGTTCAGACGGCCATGTCGCGTGTCCGAGGAGCACTCAGTCACAGGCCACTCCACGCCGGGGTCCTGGGAGCAGGGGCTGCAGGCGGGCTGGGTGCCCTCCCAGGAAATCCATGGGTGGTGTGGGTGCCCAGCCCGCCCAGCCGTGGGCAGCCACCGCCGGCCTGGGCCTATGCGCAGCTCCTAGACCACACAGGGAGGGTCGCCTGCTCCGGCCATCCACAGGAGTGGGTGACGGGGGGTCCTCCCCCAGCGCCCCTCAGCCACGCCGGTCTCCCACGTGATGGACCCGGCCAGGTGCCCGTCAGCGGCTGCTCTCCTCCTCCTCAGATCCAGAAGTGGGGCAACGTGGAGTGGGCCCACGACTACGAGCTGCAGGAGCTGCGGGCCCGCACGGCCGCCGGCACCCTCTTCATCCACCTCTGCTCCCAGAGCTCCACGGTCAAGCACAAACTCCTGCAGGAGTGAGGCCGGGCGTCCGGGGGCGGGGGGGGGGCAGGACAGAGGCTGCACGGCCACAGCCCCCATCCCCCCAGCCCGGCCTGCACATCCTCCCCGAGTCACCCCAGGACTGCAGCCGACTCGGGGTGCCGCGGGCTGGCCAGCGGTGACGGAGGGGTGGGGCCGAGAGACTGGGCGAGAGACTTCCCCTCGACCCTAACTTTATTAAAATAGCCCTTTGCACTGGCAGTGTGTGGTGCCCCCAGGTCTCCCCCGCCGCAGCTCGGGGTCCCGAGATGGAGCAGCAGGGGAGCTGCAGGCTGCACGTGTGTCCCTGGCTGTGACGAGGCCGCCTGTGGAAGGGCGCCCCCGCGGGCCAAGCTGCTCGCTTCTTACTGTTCTGGAGAGCGACCCCTCGCTCTGGAAACAGCCCAGCGGGCCGGCACGGTCACCGAGCGTGGGTGTGTGCGCTCAGCCTCCCCACGGGAGCCCAGAAGCCTCCGTGGCCCCGGGAACAGGCAGTGGGGCGAGCCCAGGCTTCCTCCGGCTGAATGGCCTCCCAGCTGCTCATCCCTGCTTCCCACGCGCTGTCTCCCGGGACCCCAGGACACCCCGGGGGGGAAGGCACTGTCCGTGTTGTAAAATAGGCCACTCTGCCCACCCCCGCTCAGAGAGAAGCATGGTCGGCGGCACCCGCTCCTGCAGGGGTGAACAGGAGCCACAGCGCCCAGCTGGGCGGCTTGGCCCCGGCACCCAACACTGGGGGCAGCTGCAGCGTCTCCTGCAGGCCTGGCTCCGCAGCACCCACGGGCCTCGGGCTCGGCCCCCCGACCTGCAGCCCGCACTGGCGGTGCCCGGGTCCCAGGGGCAGCCGACGCCGGCCCCGCCCAGGCCCCAGCCTCTTCCTCCCATTCATACACGAACGTGGACTCGGGTTTGAAAGCACAGGGGAAGGGCGGCTCGGGCCGTTTATTTCTCTCCGTATCTGGATGTTTTCCCACGAGCAGGGGAAAGACAGGTGCGAGGGGGCTGAGACCCCCTCCCCCCCAGCCCCGTGGCCGTCCTGGGACAGCCGGGGGCGCATGCGCGCTGCCGCCGGCTGGGGCCGCCGCGGCCGCTAGTCCATGTCGGGGCTCTCCAGGCTCTCCAGCTCTCTCTGCGCGTGGTCGATGTATTGATTGATCTCCCGCACCCGCTTGCGGTTCCGCGTGATCTCATCCCTGTGAATCTGAGGAGTGAAACCGAACCCCAGCGCCCTCCGTCAGACCCCTGTTAGCCGCAGCCCTCGCGGCGGTGGGGGGGGTGGGGGTGGGAGGGGTCCAGCGCTGGCCCCACGCGAGCTCACCTTGTCCACCAGCTGCGTGCACCAGGAGTTGATCCTGGTCACCAGCTCGTCCTCTCGGTTGTCGATCTTCAGCAGGTGAATGTCGTGCGAGGCCCCGACGGCGTTAACGATCGTGTCCTTGTCCACGAACAGCTGGGGGGGGGGCGGAGGGGGGGTCAGCACGCTGCTCCGAGCCCACCGAAGGGTCCCCCACCCCCGCCCCGGGTGCACACGTGCCAGCCCTGCCTTGGCTGCCCTGGGCACCAGCAGGTGGTACCCCGCACCCTCCCTGGCTACCAGGGCAACCTCGCTGAGCACGCCTGTTCCCACAATGCTCCCCTCCCTCGGGCACTGACAAGGCTCACCTGCCCCAAACCTGTCAGCCAGGTGGAGACCGCTGGTGGCCGGCGGAGGACAGCGGGAGCCCAAAGCCGCGGGTGCTTGCCCGCAGTTAGGCTACACTGCCTCTCACGTCCACAGCAACACACTTGGGAGTCCAGGAGGGGTCTCCTCTTGCCTGCCCTTGCTCCTGACCTTGGTTTTGCCTTACGAAAAGCTGCCAAGGGGCTGGCATTTGGTGTCGCAGAGAAGACACTGCTAGGGACACCTGCATCCCGTATCCTCCGTGCCGGGCAGCGCTCCTGACCCCAGCTTCCTGCTGAGGCAGACCCTGGGAGGCAGCAGTGACGGCTCCAGTCGTCGGGTGCCCACCAGCCTCGGCCTGGCCCGGCCTGGGCTGTTGTTGGGGTATAAACCAGCGAATAGGAAATCTCCGTTTCCCTGCCCGGCATGTCAATAAAAATTTAAGACACAGCATGTTACGGCTCTGCATCTCATGTCGGGGTGCTGGTGTCAGTCCCAGGATCCCAGATTCCAATGCAGCTCCGTGCTGATGTGCCGAGGAAGGTAGTGGAGGGTGGCCCAAGTGCTTGGGCCCCTGCCACCCACGGGGGAGACCCAGAGGGCGCTCTGGGCTTCATCTTGGCCCAGCTGCACCTAATTTTTTTTTTTTTTTATTTGAAAGAGTTACACAGAGAGAGGAGAGGGAGAGAGAGGTCTTCCATTCACTGGTTCACCCTCCAACTGGCTGCAACAGCCAGAGCTGCACTGATTGGAAACCTGGAGCCAGGAGCTTCTTCCAGGTCTCCCACACGGGTGCAGGGGCCCAAGGACTTGGGCCATCTTCTACTGCTTTCCCAGTCCATAGCAGAGAGCTGGATCAGAAGTGGAGCAGCCGGGTCTCGAACCGGCACCCATATGGGATGCTGGCACTGCAGGTGGTGGCTTTACCTGCTACACCACAGCGCCAGCCCCTGAGATGTCACTGTTTCTGCAAAAAATATTCTGGCCAGACAGGTCAGATGCATTTGCGAAAACCGGCACATCCCGGGCTGCTCCTGAAGATTCCCCAGGCCCAAGGGGTTCTGGGTCTCGGCAGAGTCTGGTGGGACAGAAACCGTTTTCACCTTGTCTGTCTCGCCTCCCTGACTGGTCTGGCCACAGGCTCCTTCTCAGAGTGCATGCTAACTTCTGGGGTGCTGGTTTTCTGCACCGTGCCACATCGGGGGGACCAGGGGTTGGGGGGCCAGGTCAGCTGCCGTGGGGCATGGGGCATCTGGACCCAGATAGCACAGTCGGGGAGAGAAATAAGAGGAAGTGACCAGGTTCCTTCTCTGTATGTCAGAAAGCCATGCCAGGTGGCAACAAGGGTTCAATGACAATCGCCGGTGCCGTGGCTCACTTGCCTAATCCTCCGCCTGTGGCGCCGGCACCCCGGGTTCTAGTCCCGGTTGCCCCTCTTCCAGTCCAGCTCTCTGCTGTGGCCCAGGAAGGCAGTGGAGGATGGCCCAAGTGCTTGGGCCCTGCACCCGCTTGGGAGATCAGGAGGAAGCACCTGGCTCCTGACTTCGGATTGGCGCAGTGCGGCTGTAGTGGCCATTTAGGGGGTGAACCAACAGAAGGAAGACCTTTCTCTCTGTCTCTCACTGTCTATAACTCTCTCTCTGTCTTCTCTCTCTCTCACTGTCTAACTCTGCCTGACCAAAAAAAAAAAAAAAAGACATACAATCTCAGGGCAGGCGTCTGGCGCAGCAGTTACGTCATCGCTTGGGATGCCCATGTTTCCATACTGGAGCGCCTGGTTCAAGTCCTGCCTACCCTGCCTCCCATCCAGCTCCTGGCTACTGCCCGTGCGTCCTGGGAGGACAGAGGTGGCTCAGGGACCCGGGTCCCTGCCACCCACGTGGGAGACCCCGATCGAATCCTGGGCTCGCGGCTTTGGCCTGGCCCAGCCCCAGTCGTGGGTCTTCGCGGGGAGTGCTCCAGTATACTGATCACCCCACCGTTTCCCTCTCTTGCTCTCTCTCTGTCTCTGCCTTTCACATGAAAATGAAAAAAGAACAAGTGTGCCATCTGCCCACCAAGAGCCTCAGGCAAGGGCTCAGAAGTGGGCGTCCTGGTTATTCTAGAAATAGCCGCCAGCGCGTCGATCCGTCCTCCCGGCTCCTCCTTCACCCTGGGAAGTGGGTTGTCGTGGCTGCCCTCTGAAGCCAGGTGGAGCGATGGGTCTCCCCCGGAGCCCGAGCGCAGAGAGGGGCTCTGGAGAGGCCTTGCGCCCGGCCGGCAGCCTGCTTGGATACCATGGCCTGCGTGCCATTTGTAAGGGGCCAACGAAGGCAGCCTGGACCAAGGCGGTTAGGTAGGAATGGGAGCTGTCAGTTCTGGTCTCCAGGTGACCTGGAGGGGGCGGCCACTTCTGTTCTCTCCTGGACTGTGCTGTGCTTGGGATCGCGCTGGCCTCTGCTGCTCATACCGGAATTATTATTATTTTTTTAAACATCTATTTGAAAGGCAGAGTTACGGGGGCGGGGGATGGTTTTCCATCTGCTGGTTCATGTCCCAAATAGGCTGCAATGGCCAGAGCTGGGCCAGTCCGAAGCCAGGAGCCAGGGTCACCCATGTGGGTGGTAGGGGCCCAAGCACTCGGGCCATCCTCTGCTGCTTTCCCAGGTGCATTAGCAGAGAACTGGACTGGAAATGGAGCAGCCGGGACTCGAACCGGCACCCCTATGGGATGCCAGTGTCGCAGGTGGAGGCTTAGCCCATTACACCATAGTGCCAGCCCCCTTTGTGGGCCAGCCCTTCCCCACCCCTGCAAGACAGCCTGCGTTGTTAGGGAGGGCCTGGCTCCTCCCGCCAAAACCTGCTTGCTTTGTCCGACGCGAGGTAGAGCAGCAGCAGGCCCCGCCGGGGCTCTGAGCCTGTCCTGGTATCCTGTGCCCTGGGAGCCGGACACGCCCCTCCTCTGCCCCACCCCCCGGTCTCCAGTATGCCCCCGTACCCACAGCAGCCCAGGAGTAGTTCTTACGGAGAGACTGTTCCAGACTCCCCTGCAGCTGCTGCAGAGCTCCGGGGCGAGGCAGGGGCCACTGCTGCGCCACCCCCCGTCTGTCTGGGTCTCACGGCTGTGCAGATACATGTCTTCCCAAGCCACTGCTCAGGGGCGCTTCTGAGAGCTGGTACCCCACCCCCACCCCGGAGAGCCCCTGTGGTGCCGGCAATCAATCAGGTCATCCTATCCATCTCCCACCCCAGGGCGCCCAGGACCCCACAAGTCCTCACCCCCACCCACAAAGGAGCCGCTCAGCCTGATGGGGCAGGGACTTGTGCCAGGGGAGGGAGGCAGCCTCCTGGGCCCGGCTGGGGCTCCTCAGGCCTGCAGTCACTTGGGCCCTCCCTGGCCGCCAGCTCCAGGCGAGTCTAGCCCTAGGAACACAAATCCCTTCTTGAGAGACGGCCTCATCCATGGGACTCCACCGGGTGGCGCTCATCACCACGTAAGAGGAGCTCAATTTTTGCACAGTGGACATTGTTGCAAAATCTTGGGGTCAGGCTGGAGCTGTGGCGTAGTGGGTAAAGCCGCCCCCTGCAGTGTCCACATCCCATATGGGCGCCAGTTTGAGTCCTGGCTGCTCCACTTCTGATCCAGCTCTCTGCTGTGGCCTGGGAAAGCAGTGGAAGATGGCCCAAGTCCTTGGGCCCCTGCACCTGCATGGGAGACCTGGAAGAAGCTCCTGGCTCCTGGCTTCAGATCAGCGCAGCTCCAGCAGTTGTGGCCAATTGGGGAGTGAACCAGCGGATAGAAGACCTCTCTCTCTCTCTCTCTCTCTCTCTCTCTCTCTCTCCTCTCCTTCTCTAACTCTGACTTTCAAAAACAAACAAAAAAAAAGTGCAGTTTCACTTGAGGTCAAGTGGCCTGTGGGCTCAAGTCCAGCGCCTGGACGCCTCCCCCCCAACTGGAGTCCACAGTGAGGGTCCCCGTGGTGGCTCTACAGTGACAACAGCCCAGGCTCTGCTTCAGTCACCCTAGAGCCTGGTCCTTGAAAGCTCTGGCACCTCGGCCAGTACGCCCGACCTCTGCCAGCCCCAGGTGCACCTGCTGTCCCTCATCTGTAAACAAGGGTGATAGACAGGTCGGGTATGCCCCATGCAAAAGTGCCCGGGGCCGGAAGTGCTTCCAGTTTTGAAGCTTTTTTTTTTTTTTTTTTGAGATTCTTGAAATATCATTTGCATAGACTTTACCAGTTTGAACATCCCCAGTATGTGTATGTGTGTGTGTGGGGGGGGGGATTCGTAAATCCAAAATGCTCCCAAAAGTGACAGTTTTCAAGGTGCCTACCGAAGCACCTCTGTGGGTGCAGTGAGTGACACGGATCATGGGGCCCTCGGGGGGGGGGGGCTCTGCACTGCCGGCTGCCTCGGTCAGCAGGTGCCACCCCAGGGTTCCCAGGCCTCACGAGCCGGCGGTAGATGGGTGGGAAGGGGGGCTGGCCACCGGAAGCACCAGCCCGGCCTGGTTCTCAGCCCTCGGCCTCCGGGACCCATGTTTCTGGCAGTGTTGCGGCCGTGGGAGCGAGCACCTGTCTGTCCTGTACCCACTGGGTGTCACAGAGCTGCGGCGGGGCGTGGCGGTCGGCATTGCTGTGTGGACGATTCCAGAGCGGGCTCTCTCTGGGGCAGCCTTGCCTCCCGGCTCCAGGAGGGTGGCACTCTCCTCTGCTGGCCCACAGCAGTCGGCTGGGGTTAACACTGTGGCGTAGCAGGCAAAGCCGCTGCCTGCAGTGCCAGTATAACCTGTGGGCGCCAGTTTGAGTCCCGGCTGCTCCACTTCTGGTCCAGCTCCCTGCTAAGGCCTGGGAAAGCATCAGCAGATGGCCCAAGTGCTGGGGCCCCTGCACCCACGTGGGAGACCCGGATGGAGTTCCAGGCTCCTGGCCCACCCCTGGCCATCGCGACCACTTGGAGAGTGAACCAGTGGACAGACGATCTTACTCTCTGTGTAACTCTGACTTTCAAATCAAGAAATAAATCTTAAAGACACCGCCATCAACAACACACAGCACCATTCAGCTGTGGTTCGTGGCTGAGAGAGGCAAAGCCGGGGACAGAGAAGCCCTGTCCCCCATGCTGTCGGGCGTCTATCTGTCTGTCTGTCTGGGACCGTGGGACAGAGGCTGTGTCTGCAGGAATCAGCCGAGCACGTGACAGAGGAGGGCGTGGTGCACACACCTGCACCATCTGGGGACGCCTCCCGGCTTCCATGCTGTGCCCCGTGCCCTGCTGCCCGCACAGAGAGACAGACAGAGGGAGACCCACCTACACCAGACAGCGAGGGATGGCAATGCAAGACAGAGACCCTGAGGGTGTCTCCTCCAAGGGGCGGACGCTGGAGCTGGGGTCTCAGGGGCACAGAGACCACAGGAAGAGCACACCGGAGAGCTGGACTCTCAGCTGTCCGGGAGATGGGACTGGCTCAGGCCGGGGCACTGGGAACCGGGCATGAGAAGGGCGAGAGGCAGTTGCTGACGCAGGGCAGGCCCGGTCATCGGCGTGTGGTGGGCTGCAGGAAGAGCTTGATCTAGGAGCCACAGGAAGCCATTAGCAGGCAACAGTGTCACAGGCTGGAGGGCAGCCCGAGAGGGTTCTTCTGGGGCTGAACGCACAGGGTGGCGGTGACTGGGCTTGGCGTGACCAGCAGGGCAGGGGAGAGAAGCTGAGAATGTGGAATGCCAGCAGCAGGCATGCCGGGACACCTTCCAGGCCCCGGGCCCTTCCTGTCAAAGCCTGGGCTTTGTCCCAAACACATACACAGGCCAGGGCTGTGTCTGCAGCTGGGCCCACCCGTGCACAGGCCCCGGGCAAGGAGCGGGGAGCCTGGGCTGCCTCTCGCTTCCTGCCCACGTCCATCCCTGGACCGGGCCGGTGGGAAGCGGGAGAACGTCCCGTTGCATCAGGAACCGTGCTGCTAAAAGTAAGACGACCTGCACGCGGGGGCCACCTCAGACGCGACACGTTTGTAGTGGTGTCTTGTAGAAAGTTCCAGAAGCCCCGGCCTGCTGGAAAACTGACGCCACCCCCTCCTCGCGCCCTCCTTGGCTGACGGCGCCCCCACCGGGCACCTGCTGCGGGCTTCCTGTCTTGGGGGGGCCCTCCCCCGCGGCCGCACTCACCGCTCGCACGTCGTCGGGCAGGTCCTCGTCCGGCTCGCCCTTGACCATCTTCTCCAGGGTGTTGATGGAGATCTCCAGCAGCTTCTCATGGTGGTGGTTCTCCAGGTCCCGACACTGCGCCATCGTCCCGCCGGGAGTCAAGCAAAGGTCCCAGGACAGCTGGCCGGGGCTGCCCTGTGCCCCTGGGGTGGCGGCCGGGGCGGGGGTAGGGGCTCTAGCAGGTGCATGGCAGGCCGAGTGGCTCAGCCAGGGCCAGGCTGCCAGGGCCAAAGGTGGCTTCATCGCCTTCACTGCCCACAGGGTAGGAGGAGCTTAGGGGGCTGGGTGGGAGGTGCCTAAGACACTGGGTAGGAGGAGCTTAAGGGGCTGAGTGGGAGGTGCCTAGGGGACTGGGTAGGAGGAGCTTAAGGCACTGAGTGGAAGGTCTCTAAGACACTGGGTGGGAGGTGCCTAGGGGACTGAGTGGGAGGAGCTTAGGGGGCTGAGTGGGAGGTGCCTAGGGGACTGAGTGGGAGGAGCTTAGGGCACTGAGTGGAAGGTCTCTAAGACACTGGGTGGGAGGTACCTAGGGTACTGGGTGGGAGGAGCTTAGGGCATAGGGTGGGAGGTGCCTAAACACTGGGTAGGAGGAGCTTAGGGGGCTGAGTGGGAGGTGCCTAGGACACTGGGTAGGAGGAGCTTAGGACACTGAGTGGAAGGTCTCTGAGACACTGGGTGGGAGGTGCCTAGGGCACTGAGTGGGAGGAGCTTAAGGCATTGGGTGGGAGGTGCCTAGGGCACTGAGTGGGAGGTGCCTAAGATACTGATTGGGAGGAGCTTAGGGCACTGGGTGGGAGGGGTGAGGGCATGACCCTGCAGACGCTGCCGGCAAGGGGTCCTTGCTGGGTTTGCTTCACCCTTCCTGGCCCTCACTCCCCCTGGAGGCCAGGGCAGCCCTCCCTACCCTGGGCCGCAGCAGCTAGGATATAGGCTTTGCACGTTCTCAATGAAGAGCCCCACCAGGTCGACAATGTTCCTCTCAAACATGCTTATGGTCTCCTGGAAATGAGAACGCAGAGTCACTGTGCGTCTTCAGACGCCCAGCACCACGGCATAAACACCCTGGGGACCGAGCAGCCGCCTGCCCGCTCACACACCAGCCACCGTGCCCTCTCAGGCCCGACTCACTCATCGCCAGCACCCTCCGAAGTGTCATGTCGGTGCCCTGTGCCGGGCCCACCTGTCACAGCCTGACTCCTCTCAACCCCCCCCCCCATACACACACACACTCAACAGACAAACGCTGGAGGCAGCCCTCAGGGGCCGCGTCCCAGCTCCACCACTGTGTGTGACTCTGGGAAAGTCACCTGACCTCCCCGAGCCTCGACTTCCTCATCTGTGAAATGGGTTTCCCACAGAATGCTTTGCAGGCTGCTGAGCAGAGTGGGCCCCCCACGCCCGCCATGAGCGCTGGCTGTTACCCCAGAACTCTCTCCATCAGTGTTGCTTCCTGCGCTTAGAAGGGCACAGAGGCCTACGTGGGGACTTCTGCTGGCTCCCTCTGGAGCGCGGACACCCCCCCCCTCCGCCCCGCCTGATCCGCGGTGGGCCACAGCTGGTGCAGGTGCACAGGGGAGGGGGGAGGGGGCCGAGCACGGGTCTGCAGGCCCAGCCGCTCCCTGGTAACACAAATGGGGCAGTGCCTGGGCTCCGGGGGACACGTGGATGTTGGAACGTGGTCTCCCTGCCTGGACTGCGTGGGAGAGCCGCGGCCCAGCCCTCCCCAGGGCCGCCAGCCGGCCAGCGCTCAGCTGCCTTTGCAAGTCCCCAGCTGGGGGGCGAGCCAGCCTCTGCCTGGGACGGGAAGGGGGGAATCCATCCCCCAGCGGCGGAGGAATCACTTGAGTATCGATTCGGCGCTACCTCTTGGCCCAGCCGTGGCAGCCCCTAATGAGGTTCCAGTCATTGTCACATCCCTTCCCACTCCGGGCCCGCGCTCCTCCTCCCGGGGAACACGCGAGGCTCGCCCGGCTGCTCCAGCAGCCATCCGGTATCATTTCTACCGCGTGCTGAGCGGCAGGTGCTTCGGTCTGGTCCCCAAGCTGCGTGCGCGCGCGTGAGAGTGGGGGTGGGGTGGCCCGCCTGGTCTCGTGGGCACCCGGCCCCGCTCCTGAGGTCGCATCAGAAACCCTTCCCCACGGAGGAGGCTCGGGGCTCTCCCAGGATGTGGGGGAGAAGGTGATGTGGGAAGGGGCTCACTCTTCAGTTCCCCTGCAAGGACCCCTTCCCGTCTGAGTTTTTTAAATGGATGAAAAGCAGACGCCGGGCTGGCAGGCGCCGAGTGTGCAACAGGGGCGCGCGCCCAGGGTGGGTGGGTGGTCTGCGGTTCACAGGTGCGCGCGCAGCTGCGGGACCAGGTGGCACCTGCGCCCGCCCATCCCCCCCCGGCCCGCCTCACCTCCAGCTGCTCCGCCAGCTGCATCTCCAGGGTCATGAGCGCGTTGAACAGCTCGGTGATGTCCTGGTCGCACTCCGCGATCCTCTCCGCGGTGGGCAGCTCTGATGCCTCGCGGATATTGCTTAGGCTCTGCGGGACAAAGCCAGGGCCTGAGCCAGCCGCGCGGGAGAGCTGAGGTTCCCCCCCCCCCCACGGCAGGTGCCAGCCTTGCGAGCTTGCAGAAGCCACCGGCCCTCTCTCCTGCCTCAGTTTCCCTGTCTGTAAAAGGGGAATGCTGAAGCACAGGCTCACGGGCACCAACCGGGGCTCGCCGCTGCTCGCGTGGGCTTCTGTCCCTGCGAGCAGGGCCAGGTGGAAGGTGCCGGGGCTCGGGGGGCTTCTGAGCGCAACCCCCTACGCCACACCACTTTGCCATGTGGATCGCTTTTGAGCCGAAGACGCTTGAAGACCGCAGCTGCAAGAAGTCATCTGTCTCCTCTGCTTTTTTTTTTTTACCTTGAAAGAGCAGGTGAGACGTGCCCTTTCCTGTGCCCCCCCCCCCGCCCGGAAGAAGCCATTGCTGTCCCCAGCAACCAGAGCTTGGAGGCGGGGGGCCAAGGGACCACTGCGCACGTGAGCCTTCTCTGTCCATTGGTCCTGTGCCGCCGTGCCCGACCCTGGTCTAACCACACTGTTCTGGTCGTTTTCACAGGGTGCAGCTCTTTGTCCAATTTTGTGCTAAGATTCCAGCCCCAGCTGTGTCTTTGGGTCTTCCCGTTACTCTGGTGCGTAATATAGAGATCACTAAATAAAATGTACATGTGCACATCATGGAATAAAATGTGTATGCTTTTCCCCTCTTCATCTGTCTCGTGCAGGTTGCTTTTTTTTTTTTTTTTTTTTGGACAGGCAGAGTTAGTGAGAGAGAGAGACAGAGAGAAAGGTCTTCCTTCCGTTGGTTCACCCCCCAAATGGCCGCCATGGCCAGTGCTGCGCCGACCCGAAGCCAGGAGCCAGGTGCTTCTCCTGGTCTCCCATGGGGTGCAGGGCCACTGCACTCCCTGGCCACAGCAGAGAGCTGGCCTGGAAGAGGGGCAACCGGGACAGAATCCGGCGCCCCGACCGGGACTAGAACCTGGGGTGCCGGCGCCGCAGGTGGAGGATTAGCCTAGTGAGCCTCGGTGCCGGCCAGGTTGCATTTTTTTAAAAAATGTATTTGCTTTTATTTACTTGAGGGAGACACACACAGAAAGAGACAGAGAGAATGAGAGAGAGAGAGAGAGAGAGAGAGAGAATCTTCCATCCACTGGTGCACTCCCTAAATGCCCCCAACAGCCCTGGCTGGACCAGGCTGATGGCACGAGCCTGCAATGCCATCCAGGTCTCCCACACGGGTGATGGGGACGCCGGCACTTGAGCCATCAGCTGCTGCTGACTCCCAAGTTGAGCACAAGCAGGAACTGGACCGGAAGTGAAGTAGCTGGGACTCGAACCAGGCACCCTGATACGTGATAGCCTGACTCCAGCGGTGGCTTAACCTGCTGCTAACACCACGACACCTGGTCCTCAAGGTATTTCATTCTTGGTCCTGGTCAGAGACCCCTCCCCCCAAAGGGGGCAGACAAGCAATTTTGTCTGTCCTGTAATATCGGAGTCAGGTGGAGCTGACCCACGATGTGCAGTGTAAGCTTGGCACGGCCGCTTAGCGTCTCCCAGGCTTCCTGCGCTCACAGGGTCCTGGGGACCATGGGCCTTGTGCGGGAGGCCTGGCACACACCGTGGGCTCCAGCGGCTCCTATAGCAGGCACAGGTCAGGAGAGGTGCTGGACAGGGAAGAGGCAGCCGCACCCACAGGCAACCCCAGGGGGCAAGTGGGAGACGTGGATCCTGGACCCGTCTGGAGGGAGAGGGTGCTCTGGCGGGGGGAGAGAACGAGCCAGGCTGAGGGTGGCACTGCATGCCAGCTGTCACCAGGGAAGGCCCGGGACGCCCCCGGTGCCAGGTGCCACGTCCACTTGTCTCGTGGATGCTTGGCATCAGTCCCGCCGGAGGACAGAGTAACTGGGCATGATTCGGAGGGATGAGCGCTGTTCTCATCATGGTTTCCCCATCGGGAGAAAGACAGAGCTGGCTCCCTGACCTGATGGGAGGGAAGATTCCCATGAAAGACATAAACCCATGGGGGACCGGCGCTGTAGCGTAGCGGGTAAAGCCACTGCCTGCAGCGCCGGCATCACAAATGGGCACCAGTTCGAATCCCAGCTGCTCCACTTCCAATCCAGCTCTCTGCTGTGGCCTGGGGAAGCAGTAGAAGATGGCCCAAGTCCTTGGGCCCCTGCACCCACGTGGGAGACCTGGAAGCAGCTCCTGGCTCCTGGCTTTGGATCAGCGCAGCCCTGGCTAGTGCGGCCAATTGTGGAGTGAACCAGTGGATGGAAGACCTCTCTCTCTCTCTCTCTCTCTCTCTCTCTCTCTCTCTCTCTCTCTCTCCTCTCTGTGTAGCTCTTTCAAATCTTTAAAAAAAAAAGAAAGAAAGAAAGCAAACCATGGAAGGGCTAATAAAAGAACACGGGGTTTTTCCAATGATCTCTGAGTGAAGAATTCCTTCCCGAATACTAGCAACAAAACAGACTGACAAATACCACGTTAAAAAAATTAACACTGAGTGGCCAGGTGGGCGCTGGGTGCAGGAGTTGAGTCTCTGCTCGGGGTGCCCACCTCGCATACCCAAGTGCTAGGTTCGAGTTCCAGCTACTCCCCTTCTGATCCGGCTTCCTGCTGATACACACCCTGGGGAGCTGTTGGTGACCGATACAGCACGTGGGTCCCTGCCCCGCGTGGGAGATCCCAACTCAGCCAGACCCATACCTGGCTGAGGGGACATTTGGAGAGGGAACTAGCAGCAGGGATGGGGGACATTTTTTTCTGCCAAGGGCCTTTTGGGTATTTGTAATATCACTCATGGCCCATATGAAATTAATTAGCCTGCTATAGATCGACTGGATTTTGAGTCCTGCCTATGGTTGCCTCGGCAAGGCCAGACTTCATGATTTCGAGGGCCTTGTGTGGCCCCTGGGCTGGATGTTCCTCACCCCTCCAGTACGTGAAAGCTCTCTCTCTGTCCCCACCCCGCTTCAAATAAAGTGAAAATTGCAATAAAAATTGCAATGGTGAGATGCAACACAGACAAGATGGCAAGACGAACAGCAAAGTGGGGGAAATGTTTGCGACTCATCTCACGGAGACAGGGCTCACCTGGAAATCTCTAAAGCACTCCTACATGGTAAATTTTTTTTCTTTTTAAAGAAAGAGGCACAGAGAGTGAGAAAGACCGAGAAACCAAAAACCAAATAGAAAAAAAAAATGGGTAAGGGCAAACACAGGCAGACGTAGTTGACAGAATAGGAGACAGCGATGGTTGGAAGACAGGTGCAGCTCGCCTTGCTCAGGAGAAAATAAAACGGCTCTGCGGGGCGCAGCTGGGCCACAAGCATTGTGGGAGTCACTGTGTACCAGCAGCACGTGTTACGTGCAACGGGGAGGGGTAGGGGGCCTTCAGGGCCTGTGGGTCCTGGGATCTCCCCAGACAGTGGACTCTGAAACACCTGGGGAGCTCTGGCCAGCCCCAGTGCCCGCAGGCCACGCCCACAAGGCCTTCAAGGAGGGCGCCAGGCCCCAGGCCCGCTCTGTGCAGCTGGGCAAGCTCCACTGCCCTGGACCCAGGCTCAGGCGAGTCAGCTCATGCCTGGTGGCCTTGTAGGAGGAGGCAGCCACTCCAGACCCTGGGAGCAGAGTCCTCATCAGCCCCGTTCTAGCTGCTCCTGCTTCCCCAGAGGTACCTGTTGCTCCAGGAAGCACTGACCGGCTGACCCCCTGCCATCCTAAACCCAATGGCCACTGGGACCAGAAAAGAGGCGTCACAAGTGTGGGGCCAGGGTCGAGACACTGGCACCCCATACGAGCGCCAGTTCCAGTCCCTGGCTGCTCTGCTCCGATCCAGCTCCCTGTTTAAATGTCTGGGAAGCTCCTTTCCCTGTTTGGAGAGCTTGATGCAGTGGCTGGGATTTCTCTGTCTCTCTCCCTCTCTCTCTGCCGCTCCGCCTTTCAAATAAATAAAAAAGGACGTCCTGGGGCCGGCGCTATGGTGTAGCGGGTAAAGCTGCCACCTGCAGTGCCGGCATCCCCTGGCTGCCCCACTTCTGATCCAGCTCTCTGCTATGGCCTGGGAAAGCAGTGGAAGATGGCCCAAGTCCTTGGGCCCCTGCACCTGCATGGGAGTCCCGGAAAAAGATCCAGGCTCCTGGTTTTGAATCGGCTCAGCTCTGGCCATTGTGGCCATTTGGGGGAGTGAACCAGCGGATGGAAGACCTGTCTCTCTCTCTCTCTCTCTGCCCCTCTTGAACTCTGCCTTCCAAACAAATAAATAAAATAAAATAGCGACAGTTAACAGATGAGGTCATGCAGGGCGAGGATGACCTTGAACCCCTGGGCATGTTACATGATGGAGCCACAGCCCCACCTTCGTGGCCACAGTGGAGCAGCAGGGGAGGCGGTGAGTGGGCTGGGCCTTGGCTCTGCTGCTCGCGGCTGCGTGACCCCCTGGCCTGGGCCGCAAGGGCCAGCAGGGGCACAGGTGCTGCAGCCCTTCGGCGGGCGCAGAGCTGCGGCTTCGGGAGGGGCGGGCCCTACCAGCGAGTGCTTCTCCTCGAACTGGGCGATCTTGAGTTTGCCCTGCTCCTGGTTCTCCTGGATCGCCTCCTGGATGCACTCAGTAAACGTGTCCAGCTCGATCTTCCGCTTTTCCTGCTGTTTCAGGCCGTACTCGAAAATGTTCACGCAGATGGTGACAAATTTGTCCTTGTAGGTGGGTGGGCGTTAAGGAAGCTCAGGGCAGCGTCTCTCTCCCTTGGAGCAGGCCACCGGGGAGGGCCACAAGGGTGCAAGGGCTTGCTACGCTGAACGTGTGTGTGTGCAGGACTCGAACTCAGGGTCTTGTCTGATGGAGGAAGCCATTGAGGGGCCCAGAGACCTGGCACTGGAGATTCAGAGGGTAATGGTGTGGCTGAGGTCTCGCCACCATCGGAGGCCTGGTGGGGGAAGGAGCTGGGGACCACGGGCAGAACCCACAGGGCAAGCAGGCCCCAAACAGACTGCTTGGGGACCTGGCGGGACAGGGAGGGGCTGGCAGCCCGAGGAGCCAGCCCTGGCCAGGGGATGAGGTGGTGTGTGTTGTCTCTGGTGTGTGACCGAGATGGGCTCTTGGGCAGAGGGCCCATTTTGCTGCTCAGCTGTGCTGGGGTGGGGTGGGTGGGGTAGGTGGGGGTGGAGGGGCCAGGGGTGGAAGTGGAGGATCCAGGTTCAAGTCCTGGCCCCGCCACTGCCACTGGGAAAATTGTCAAGATTTGAAAACAGAGTCATCCGTGTCATACCTTGGCAAAGCAGAGCCAAGGCAGGCTGCGGGGCGGGGGCGGGGGGCTGGCAGTGCAAGATGTGCCTGATCAAAGGGACTGTCACACACCCGCTGGGCCACTTTCACGAGAGCACCTGCCGGACAGCGGCTCCACCAGCCCCACCCCGCACAACAGGCTGCGAAGGCCTTGAGGTGTCAAGTCTCGCCCAGTGACTGCTGGTACCCATGAACCTTCTGCTATAACAACTTAACATGGGGCCAGCGCCGTGGTGCAGATGCAGAGGGCAAAGCCTCTGCCTGCAGTGCTGTTATCCCATATGGGCGCCGGTTCTAGTCCTGGGTGCTCCACTTCCGATCCAGCTCTCTGCTATGGCCTGGGAAAGCAGAAAATGACCCAAGTCCTTAGGTGCCTGCACCTGTGTGGGAGACCCGGAAGAAGCTCCTGGCTTCAGATCAGCCCAACTCCGGCTGTTGCAGCCATTTGGGGAGTGAACCAATGGATGCGAAACCTCTCTCTGTCTCTGCCTCTGCATCTCTGTAACTCTGCCTTTCTAATAAATAAATAAATTTGGAAAAAGAAGATAGCCCTCCTCTGCCTTGCGGCGCCGGCACACCGGGTTCTAGTCCCGGTCGGGGCGCCGGATTCTGTCCCGGTTGCCCCTCTTCCAGGCCAGCTCTCTGCTGTGGCCAGGGAGTGCAGTGGAGGATGGCCCAAGTGCTTGGGCCCTGCACCCCATGGGAGACCAGGAAAAGCACCTGGCTCCTGGCTCCTGCCATCGGATCAGCGCGGTGCACCGCCGCAGCACGCCGGCCACGGCGGCCATTGGAGGGTGAACCAACGGCAAAGGAAGACCTTTCTCTCTGTCTCTCTCTCTCACAGTCCACTCTGCCTGTCAAAAAATAAAAAAAGAAAAAAAAAAAAAAAAAGAAGATAGCCCAAGTGCTTGGGCCTCCGCCACTGACATGGAAAACCCAGATGGAGGTCCAGGCGTCTGACTTCAGCCTGGCCCAGGATGGGGAAACAGTCCCAGCAGGGGCTGGGGGCTCCGTGAGCAGGCTCTGCCAGACAAGAGGAGTCTGGACTCCATCCGGGTCTCCCACGTGGGTGGCAGGGGCCCAAGCGTGGGCGTGGGACTCGGCAGCCCTTAGGACACCGCTGGGCACCCACAAAAGCTCTCGTGCTGGGGTGCCGGGGTTCGAGTCCCGGGAGCTCCTGGCTCCCGCTTCCTGCTAACAATGCACACCTGGGAAGGGGCGGGTGCCGGCTCAAGTGCTCGCGGCCCCACCGCCCACGCGGGAGACCTGGGCTTTTGAGGTTATCTCGAGAGCACACCAGTGGACCGACCTCTCTCCCCACTGTCCGCCCCGGGTCTCCTCTCCTCTCGTCTCAGGCGCCAGCTTCCAGGCTGGGTCCGCGTAGCAACAGCGTCCCCCGGTTGCTAGGGAACCTTAAGCGCCGCCCGCTCGGTCGCTAAGGGGAAGTTAAGAGGTAGACATCCTGGGTGAAAGTGGACGCATCACGTGATCAGTTCTTGGGGCGGGGAAATCCTACCACACCAACCAGGCTTAGAGCAAACAACCGTTTACCCAATCAGCACTTTTTGTGGGCGGGGATATTCGTGGATGCACCGCCTCTCCTTGCCCCGGTTTGAGTGATTGACTCGTCCTTCATCCAATAATACTAAGGATTCTCTAGCTTGACGGACATATGGGCGAATCAACACGCAAAGCCTCTCTTTCGGAGGCGGGCCAGAGGAGGAGCCGCTACGTAGCGCCTGACGGGGACTCCAGAGATCAAGCTCGCTCTCTGGCCAATCGGACGCCGCGGGGTGGGTGGGAGCTTCGCTGAGGTAGAGGCGAAGGCCAATCGGATGAGGGCTCTGTAGGCGTTGCCCAATTGAGACGTATCAAGGGGGCGTGGCCAAGGGCCCGGGGCTCGGCGTTCCTGAGCGTGGGGCGGGGGCGAGTGTCAGTCAGGTCGGGACCGCGGCTGGGGACGGCGGAGACCCGGGCGGGCAGACTGGACGCCCCGTCCGCCGCCGCGCTTTCCGTGCAAGATGGAGTTCCTCCTGGGGAATCCGTTCAGCACGCCGGTGGGACAGTGCCTCGGTAAGGCCCCGTGAGCGGGGAGCGCCGGGGTGGGCGACGGCGGCGGCTGTCGAGGCTGGTGCGGACCGCGCCGGCCGCTACCGGCTGAGGGTCCCCCGCCTCCAGCCCCGCAGCATCTGTTGGCGTCGCGCCTGGGCCGGGCAGCGGGGCCAGCTCACGAGACGGGTCCGGCATCCTGGTCGCCAGGCCTCCGCTGGGCAGCGGGATGCCCTGCCAGGAGGCGCCCCTGGGGCCCAGCTCGTACTCTTGCGAGACTTCCAGCGTCCCTAGCCATCCGGGCCGGCCCTCCCTGTCCCCTCGAGGTGGTGCTACGCTGAGCGCCCGCTTCCACCCTGCCAGCCTCGCGGCCCTGCCCCCCACCCCGCCAGGACCCGCTCACCCGGCCGTCCCGGACGCCTGTCCCTCCCCGTCAGTTCCAGCAGCCCTCAGACTGGGCGTCTCCCCAGAAAATGCCCCGGGTTGCAAGACTCGCTCTTGGCGAGGCGACTCAGCCGAGCTGTAGAGGGGGTCGTGGTGGGGCGGGATGCCGGGGGGTGGCGGGGCGCTGTAGGGGTGGGGTGCCCTGTGCAGCCGGCTCATGTTCCCTGCAAGATAGGCACTGCTGAGGTCTCCCCGTTTTTTTTTTTTTTTTTTTTTTTTTTTTTTTTAAGATTTATTTATTTGACAGGCACAGTTACAGACAGAGAGAGAGAGGAGAGAGAGATCCTTCATCTACTGGTTCACTTCCCAAATGGCCACAACAGCCAGCGCTGGGCCAGGCCAAAGCCAGGAGTCTGGACTCCATCCGGGTCTCCCACGTGGGTGGCAGGGGCCCAAGCGTGGGCGTGGGACTCGGCAGCCCTTAGGACACCGCTGGGCACCCACAAAAGCTCTCGTGCTGGGGTGCCGGGGTTCGAGTCCCGGGAGCTCCTGGCTCCCGCTTCCTGCTAACAATGCACACCTGGGAAGGGGCGGGTGCCGGCTCAAGTGCTCGCGGCCCCACCGCCCACGCGGGAGACCTGGGCTTTTGAGGTTATCTCGAGAGCACACCAGTGGACCGACCTCTCTCCCCACTGTCCGCCCCGGGTCTCCTCTCCTCTCGTCTCAGGCGCCAGCTTCCAGGCTGGGTCCGCGTAGCAACAGCGTCCCCCGGTTGCTAGGGAACCTTAAGCGCCGCCCGCTCGGTCGCTAAGGGGAAGTTAAGAGGTAGACATCCTGGGTGAAAGTGGACGCATCACGTGATCAGTTCTTGGGGCGGGGAAATCCTACCACACCAACCAGGCTTAGAGCAAACAACCGTTTACCCAATCAGCACTTTTTGTGGGCGGGGATATTCGTGGATGCACCGCCTCTCCTTGCCCCGGTTTGAGTGATTGACTCGTCCTTCATCCAATAATACTAAGGATTCTCTAGCTTGACGGACATATGGGCGAATCAACACGCAAAGCCTCTCTTTCGGAGGCGGGCCAGAGGAGGAGCCGCTACGTAGCGCCTGACGGGGACTCCAGAGATCAAGCTCGCTCTCTGGCCAATCGGACGCCGCGGGGTGGGTGGGAGCTTCGCTGAGGTAGAGGCGAAGGCCAATCGGATGAGGGCTCTGTAGGCGTTGCCCAATTGAGACGTATCAAGGGGGCGTGGCCAAGGGCCCGGGGCTCGGCGTTCCTGAGCGTGGGGCGGGGGCGAGTGTCAGTCAGGTCGGGACCGCGGCTGGGGACGGCGGAGACCCGGGCGGGCAGACTGGACGCCCCGTCCGCCGCCGCGCTTTCCGTGCAAGATGGAGTTCCTCCTGGGGAATCCGTTCAGCACGCCGGTGGGACAGTGCCTCGGTAAGGCCCCGTGAGCGGGGAGCGCCGGGGTGGGCGACGGCGGCGGCTGTCGAGGCTGGTGCGGACCGCGCCGGCCGCTACCGGCTGAGGGTCCCCCGCCTCCAGCCCCGCAGCATCTGTTGGCGTCGCGCCTGGGCCGGGCAGCGGGGCCAGCTCACGAGACGGGTCCGGCATCCTGGTCGC